CACTGCCCCCAAATAATTCTGTGCTGTATTATTTACTTAATGAGGCTTTGTTTCTTTCCCCTTCCTTCTTAAAGACAAGTTAGAGGTTAGTGCTGTGAACTCTGTCCAGCAAAGTCCGTGTCCTGAGGTTGGCCTGTTCGTGTTGTTGTCTGCCTGTCCTCAGAGAACTCATTTAAAGCTCTTGTAACTGATGCACTCTCTTTAGCCCCTGGCTGGATGCAAGATGTAGCTGCCAAATGTACCCTGAGAAGTAGCTCTAGATAAGAGCAGGTTTCCAAGGACTGTTCAGCTCTGTTACTGGCCTGGAAAGCACCGACTTACATGTGTGACATGGTAAAGGATGCGCCCCCAAGGCTGCAGCACCCTGATGTGCCTCTTCAGGCAGTGTTCTCGAATGTTCCTAGGTCATTAGGAAGTATTCAAGTGTTACATACAATCTTACTTAGGATCACAACTGACCCTATCTAAATATATACTAGCTCTCTCTAAGATAATGCCCTCAGACCCCTTTGTGTGCTATGTTTTGTTTACCTTTTTATATGAGAAAGGATAAGATAAAAGAGAAGTTACGAAGACTCTTAAAGCACGTTTTCTCTTTGTGAAGTTGACCTTAAGAATTATCCTTCTAGGGGAAATGTATGGAATTAAAGGTAATAATTCCATTGTGATTATCATTCGTGACTGCCACTTTACTAGGTGCTCTGAAGTACAGCAGTGGTGAAGCAGGTGGACATGGTACCAGCTGGCATCACTGAGCTGTGCCCCGGCAGGAAGGGCACCCCCAGCAGCAGATGGCGAGTATGACAGGCATTCCAGTGAGACGGGGGCAGTTTCTAACGGGGAAGCCTTAGCCTGTCTTGGAAGTTTAGAGAAAGCTTCCCTGAAAAAAGTGTTTGAGACTAAGAGAAGAGCTAGAGGCTAGCTGGGCAAAGGGGGATCCCAGACGGAATGCAGCCCCTCAGTGAGTGTAAACATAGCCCTTCGACTAACTGAGAAGTCTGGCGTGACTTGAGAAACTAGGAGGAGGCCCCTTGAAAGCCATGTTGGTTATTGGCTTAATCCTAAGGGCAAGAGGAAACCAGTCAAAGGTGTTACAATAAGCATGCAATCGATAAGATCAGAATTTTTATTTGAAAAAGATTGCTTGCTACCAAGTGGAAAATAGATTAAAAGAAAGAAGAGTTGTCGTAAGTATACCAGTTAGGTTTGTTATAGTGGTTCAGATAAAACCATAATGATGGTGGCCTACTAGACATGGCTTGTTATGGTGGGGACAGAAGAATGAGAGAGACTTTACAACGGACAGGTTTTGCGCTTTGATCGTTATTGAGGCTGGATGATGAGTACATGGGGCAGATGTTGTTATTCTTTGTAATTCTGAATGTATTTGAACTTTTATACAATAGAACATTGTAAGAAAAATGGACAGGTTGTGGTGGTGGCATAGATGTTGGAAAGGAGGAGTTGTGCTTCCTGGGTGCCTGGCTGGATCCGCTGGGCTGAGTGGTGGCACTTAGAGGGACAGCTCCAGAAGACCCAGGCTGGTGGGGCAGGGGATCAGGTCATTTCTGTCACGGAGTTTGGGAATCCCATGGGGACGTCCAGGGGCAGTCATGCGAGCTCAGCAGGGAAGTTGGGTCTAGAGATATAAACGTGTTGGTCATTGGCAAAAGAACAACAATCGAAATCGTGTAGGGAGTTGCATGAGATCCCTCTGGGACGAGACCCAAGAGATGTTGTATTTCTTATATGCCGAAAGCTCTCGTGTACCACTGAGTAAACAGACAGTCGAGAATCAGACAAGTTACTACTTTGTTCCCTTTTTTAAACCTCAAAAATCCATTCTTCATTTACTTGAATAAATATGCAGTTGATCCAGCTGATTTTTTCTGTCTTCTTACGTCTGTTGCTTTTATAACCTGGCCTCACCCTGCTCTCTTCAAGACAGTCCTTTGCCTCCTGGTTGCTAAGTCCACTCACCTTTTGAACATCTTTTCTCTGTTTGATGCTGCTGACTCCTCCTTCCTTAAAATTCTTTCTGTATTATTCCAGAGTGTGCCTCTCCGCCTGCCCCTTGCCAGTTTTATAAATGACTTTTCTCTGGACCTCAGATGCTAAATTCAGATTTCCTGGGCCCAGTGTTTGGTACACTCTGCCCTTTGTGGGTTCTGTTCAAACCCTCCCTTCCAACTAGCCAGACTCCAGGCTGGGTCTTCTGTAATAGCAGGAATCTTGGAATTGGAGTCTGAAGACTTCTTTGCTCTTGAAGATTTGTCTTTCCAAATGGGAATTCCTTCCTGGCATTCCTTGAGAAATTTATATTTTTCAAATTCTGTATCTGAGAAAAATCAGTCCAAAAAGTCAAGAAAACAGGGAAAAAGTATTATGATTCTGAAACATTATAGTCAACATAGAGACATTACTGGTTCAAAGGAATCCATCAGTGACAAGTCACAAGCAAGAGCAGGGCACACTGAGGCACGGAGTTGAAGGTCAAGGTCGGCATTCTCAGGAACCAGGACGAGAACATGTGGCAGGGAAGCCGTGCTGGCTGCCTGAGGCCTTGCCCTACGTGTGGGTCTGAGGCTCCTCCGCTGCTAAGGGTGGATCATTCCTGCAACTAAAATAAGTATTAATATGTTCATGTGTGTAATATACTTTCTATAAATCCTCTGGTGTTCCAAAAATTGCTAGTTTTGGAAGCAAAGTAAGTGCTTAAGTCGGCACTTTTGACCTGCAATTCTTTGTGATACTGTTAACCTTGCTAGGAGGTCTGAATGCTACCTTATTTGAAGAAGGTGTGCTGGCATTTTCCAGTGGTCGGATCCTCACTGTCGGCTAGAGTTCTTTGTAAATACTGTAACAAAAGAAATATGAGAGAAAAATATGAATGTCGTGGAGTAATCTGACATGGAATCAAAAAGCAATCTGCAGCCTAAATCAGCAGAAGCAATGTTGATGTCAATGGCAAAACCAAATTAGGTCAAACAGACAATATTTTCATTGCTTAAAAAGAAGCAGCTTACACGACGTGAGACGTGTGCCAGCCGGAAGGTGCTTTCGGATGCGCTCTTGGAGTGAGACCATTAAAGCAGCTTCTCTGCACCTGGAATAGTTGCCGTGAAACAAAGAGATTGTCTGATAGGGCAGTTAATGCTCTGTGTGTTTTAACATTTGAAGATGGTAACTTTAAAATATTAAGTATCTCTCATATTACCTTTGAATCTTTTAAGTGATTTTTATTTGGCAGTTATGCTACATTAAGTTCTTGTTTAATTTAGCAAATGTTTATATCAGGTAGAGACCATATTTATATCTTACTGAAATTATAATCTTATCACAATATATTTGTTCATAATAATAAATCTTGCATTTGTTTTGTATAGGAAACCTCTTAAACTCTTAGTATAACACTGTTACAGAAAAATTATTCATTTTTACTGGTTACTCATTATTATTTAGAAACAAATGTTACAAAAAATACAGAATAATTAGAATTTGGAGAATTCTGGTTTCTCGTGCCTGAATCTTGCAGATTAACATGTTGGGGATTTGAAAACATTGCAAACATCTTAAGCCCCCTAAACCTCAGTCTGCCTGGGTGAGGGGACAGTCAGGAGCCCTCCTGGCTCACGTGCGACGCCCTCCTCCTGGACCACCTTCCTCTCCCCCGGGCCCGCTGTCTGTGAGCCGGGCCATCGTGCCCAGGCTCGGCCTCGGCTGCCTCTGCATGTCCTTCTGACCTGGCACCCTGCGCTTTCCCGTTTCAGAGCTGTGAGGAGATGCCCAGCTTGGGGTCGGGCTGCCTGGGGCCCAGCCTAACTCTGCCGCCACTGACCCTTGGCCAGATGCTTAACTGTGGCTCAGTGTCTGCATCTGTCAAATGGGCATTAAAACAGTACCACCTCACCACATGATTGTGACAGTCCCCGTGAAGGGCTTGGCAGTGTCTTGCATGTAGAGTACTCAGCAGCAACCAAGATAGATCTGTTTTTTCTTACAAGGCCCTGTCTCCGTCTCCGTTGCCTCCCGTCATTGCTGTTGTCTTTTGCTACTTGAGCCTCCCAGGGCTGCTCTCCCATTTCATTTCCATCATGATCCCTGTTGGGAACTCCCTGTTGCCTGCCCTGGCAGTGGCCCAGTGTGATCAGGCCCGGCTTCGCCACCTTGCTCCCTGTCAGTGTCCACACGAGCCTTCCGGTTTGCTGCCTGCGTGTGGACCCCCTGCCCCAGCCCTGCTGTTGCTTGCACCTGAGCTCTGCATGGTTCTTGTGTTCTAGGCCGCATTCTAGGCTGTTGGCTGATCATTGATCTCCCTGGCCGATTGGTTTCTCTGGCTGAAACAAAGTCCAGAAAGCAAACTTTTAACAATAAAAAATTGGTTAAGCAGAGCTGTCACATTGAAAAAGTTTGTTTCCATGATCCCTTTGAGTTTTTACTGCTCGTAATATGAGTTTGAAGTCAGTAATTTTGGTCAGATGCAGTGGCTCACGTCTGTCGTCCCCGCATTTTGGGAGGCCACGGTGGGAGGATTGCTGGAGTCTAGGAGTTCAAGGACCAGCCTGAGCAAGATAGCAAGACCTGTCTCTACCAAAAAATAGAAAAATTAGCCAGTCATGGTGGTGTGCACCTGAAGTCCCAGCTGCTCAGGAGGCTGAGGCAGGGGGATCACTTGAGCCCAAGGTGAGCTACGATCGCACCGCTGCACTCTAGCCCGGGCAACAGAGTGAGACCCTGTCTCAAAAAAAAAAAAAGAAGAAGAAGAAGAAAAGAAATCAGTCATCTCGAGTGTGGCTAATAGATTTGTCTTTTATTATATACATGAACAAAATGTCCTGTGTGTTTCAGTGATGGAACCAAAAGTATTTCTTGATCTTATTTGTTAACTTCTTTGGAGAAATATCCATAGTTTTTCGAATATTTTATAGATTAATGTATACATTAATATACAATTCAATCCCCAGTAACCAACTTTTGTTTCTGTTTTTCCCCTACTTAAGGACCCCAAAATGTATGTACAGACAGTGCTAGATGTTCATAAAAAGTACAATGCCCTGGTAATGTCTGCATTCAACAACGACGCTGGCTTCGTGGCTGCTCTTGATAAGGTAGGCACATGGCTGTTGTGACGTCCCTGCGTGTATGCGGATGGGGCGCTTTTCTCTAACTGTTCTGTGCAACGCAGGCCTGTGGGCGCTTCATCAACAACAACGCAGTTACCAAGATGGCCCAGTCGTCCAGCAAGTCCCCCGAGCTGCTGGCCCGGTACTGCGACTCCTTGTTGAAGAAAAGGTATTAAATAACTGTGATTTTTCTTAGCCTGTTTAAAATCTCAGCTTTTACATGAGGAATTTAAATTTATATTACATTTTACATACCTTAAATTGTACATTTTGTACCTTTCGAGAAAATTTTCAAACAGAATATATCATCTTTCCAGTTGAAAATCTGTATTAGCCCCCACTGGCTGTTTCTAAAATAGAAGACTCTCCGTATACTGTAGTGCTTTCGTTGTTCTGTGTACTTTTAAAAGTTATTTTTGTTTGACAAGTTTGTTTTATTGTTATTTCATATTCTTTGCTTTTTAATCATCTTATTTCTCAACTAGTGTTTTTCCTAATCAGTTTATGTGTGTCAAGAGCTGAGGCAATATACTATAATACGGTTCTGTCCTCTGTTGTGTTTTTAAGTCCTCACTGATTTTTTTGTTTGTGTGTGTGTTTTGTTTTTTCTTAGCTTCTTTTTCATTGTAACAGTTTCTTTCACTTTAGAAATGCTCAGGTTTTATTTTACTATTCCAAATATCACATGAGCAAATGTTAAAGAGTTTAATGAAGGAAGATAATCCCCTTCTGGCTTTCTGTTGCAGTAGTTTTCCATGCCCCCAAATTATACTGGTTTGGAGGGGAGTTTTTTGGTTTTGTTTCATTTGAGATACCGTCTCATTCTGTGGCCCTGGGTAGAGTGCAGTGGCATCATCATAGCTCACTGCAACCTCGAACTCCTGAGCTCGAGCGATCCTCCAGCCTCAGCCTCCTGAGTAGCTGAGACTACAGGCATGCGCCACCATGCCCGGCTAATTTTTTCCATTTTTAGTAGAGAACGGGGTCTTGTTCTTGCTCGGGCTGATATCAAACTCCTGAGTTCAAGCGGTCTTCCTACCTCGGCCTCCCAGAGTGCTAGGATTACAGGCGTGAGCCACAGCACCCGGCCTGTACTGGTTTTAACAGTAACGAGTTACATTTTAAGTAGCTCTCTAAGGTTAGCATAACCCTAATATAAAAAAAACTGAGAATACCTACATGTACCAGAGTAAATAGACTGCAAATAAGACTCACTTAAGAACAGAGGTGCAGAAATATTTAGTAAAATATTAGCAAACCAAATTTATCAGTGAACTAAAGAATAATTCTTCAAAACATAGCATCACTTTCTAGGAACGTAAGGATGGCTTAACAGCAGCAAATCTAATGTACTTTGTGAACAGACAACTATGTGAAAAACTTGTGTGGTCTTCTTGGTAGATGGTGGGAAAACATTTGATAAAGGTCAATAACTGTCGCTTTTAACTTGACCAGAAAGCCATTTGCTGGAGGCCAGTGAGAAATTGAGTTTTTGACTTTTTTCCCTGTTTATTGCAATACTGGTCTAATGTATAATTTGGCAATTCTAGTCAGATCCTCCAATGTATCCTCTGCGGGAATAAAAAGGGACTTTAAATTGGAATGCCTCTTATGAGTTGATTTCATTTGTTTTTAGCCTATGTAATATGACCAGTTTAGGTAATTTAAATATGGAGCTCCTCTGTTAGGTCTTTAGTTTGGTTTCACAAAACACTTAGTGTCCTTTTTACCCCTTGTCTTTTTGGAAATGGCCCTCATCAAGTCTATTGATATGTTTATTATTAGTTAAGGCTGCTGAAGCAGACAGACAGGGAAAGACATTTCCAAAGCTGCTTGTTTAAATGTATTAGAGAATAGAGTCTAGTAGGCACTAAGTTAAATTGTTCCCGGGAAAGCGAAACAGCCGTGACCCACAGTGGGAAGAATAGGATTGGATTTTCTGAGCCAACTATTCTTAAGTGAGAGACACCTCTTCAGAGCTTGCTTGGTGGCTGGTTCATATTATATGAATTAGAGGTCTTGTTTATTAAGGACTCATGTAGAAAAACCTTTTAAAAACTCATTTATTCTTAAATTACTTTTTGAATTAGTTCGTAAAATGGATGAATCAGTTGGTTAAAAAAACACTCATCTATTTTGTAGACATAACTACAAATGGAAAGCATCACTTTAGTAGTAATTTAAACCCTTTCATTATCTTAAATTATTAGGCCATTAAAAGGAAACTGTCTTTTTGTTTTTTCTAAAGTTAAATTACAGCAGAGTGTAGAAAGAAATTGCAAAAGTAAAGCTCCTTTACTTAGGTTTCAGTGGATTATCTGAAAGGAAAACTTTATTCACGATGTTTTCGGAAACTTAGTAAATATCTTCTGTTGATTTTCATCTTGGATGTTCTAAGTGATTGTTTCCTGTTCTTCCATGATGGCGTTATAGTATGAGATTGCTAAATTGCTGTAGGTAAGGAAAGTTAACTGTCCCTCTCCCATATACTGATCTGAAGAGAACTGATCATTTGAATGCTTGGAGCCACGTACTGATGTGTGGGTAATTTGGCTGAGTGGTGCTTGTTTAAATGTTTTCAGATTTGTTTTAAAACACGATGCCTTTTTAAAAATTTCAGTTCCAAGAACCCAGAAGAGGCAGAGCTGGAAGACACACTCAATCAAGTGGTAAGGTGCTTCTTAATCATATCCATTTTCAGTAGCTATTCATTTCACAAGTTGTTTGTAAGGTTATTTGTATAGGGCATCTGGGATGTAAAAAGTAATAATGGTTGATTTTATTTCAAATCTATGGTTTTAGTCCCTAAATGAGTCATTACTTTTAGCATTTGTGCTTTCTCATTAGTACTAAATCTAGTACACCTTAATGTGATTGAAAGGGATTGCCGAAAATATTTACGTTAGACTCCAGGGCAGGTTTTTTTGCCATCATAAATGTTGGCATACGGTCCCAGCCAAAACCAAGCACAAGTCTTGGCTCCTGGCAAGTGGCTGGCGACAGCTGGCTTTGCACAGTCAGCTTGCGAGTGTTCTTCATTAAGTGTGTTCTCTTGGTGGCCTTGCCAGATGGTCGTCTTCAAGTACATAGAGGACAAGGATGTGTTTCAGAAGTTCTACGCCAAGATGCTGGCCAAGAGGCTCGTCCATCAGAACAGCGCAAGTGATGATGCCGAAGCGAGTATGATATCCAAGTTGAAGGTGGGTTCAGCTCCTCCTGAAAATCCCAGCTCCGGGGTCATTATTACAGTAGTTCTTGGTCTCTCCCAGTTATCAAGCGGGCGAAGGAGTTTGTAAAGTGTGAGCTCTGCTGTTCTGCTGCTGAAAACCTATCACAACTAGTGTTCTGCTCTCCTGACCCTTCCCCACTCTTTGGGGCCCTTTTGCCCCCCCCACCCGGGCACCGTCTCCTGCTTCCCACACGTTTGGCCTTGGACCATATTCACATTTTGTTGGCTTTGAGTTGACTGGATATTTTCTTTGGCTCTGGGCTTGGTTAACTGTCTACAACGCTGTAGCTACAGAAAGACATGAGGTATCAGTGTTACTTTGCTATCGAGCAGTTCTTCCTTATTCTGCCTCCTTTGCAGTTTCAGTGCTTGCCAGGCTGCCGTTACACGTCTTAGAACATATTTTACTTTGACATCAAATTTTAGTTACATGGGTGTTTTTGTGTGCTTGGACTGCGATGACAAAATACCATAGACCAGGTGGCTTAAATAACCGAAATTGATTCTCACTGTTCTGGAGGCTGAGAATTCCAAGATCAAGGTGCCAGCTGAGTGGGTTCCTGGTGAGGGCTCTCTTCCCGGTTTGCAAACAGCTGCCCTCTCACTGTGTCCTCACATGGCGGAGGGAGGGAGCGCAGAGCTCTCTCTTGTCTCTTCTTATGAGGACACCAATCCCTTCGTGAGGGAACCCGCAAGCCCTCATCTAAACCTGATTACCTCCCAGAGACACCACCTCCAAATACCATCACATTGGAGGTTCATGCTTCAACATATGAATTTTAGAGGGAAGGGACACGATTTAGTTCATAGTAGTAGGAAAAGAGATAATTATTTCATCTTTGTATTCTACCATGGTGTCAGCAATATCTTACTCTTAGATGCTCAAATAATGGTTATTGTATGTATGAAGACTTAACTGTTCAGCTTATAGTTGTGTTATTTTTGACAGTGTATTAATTTTAATCCATGCATAGTTATAAAATATAACTAAATGTTACTAGCTTTACTGATAGTTTTGTACAATTAAGCATGTGTCATGTACTGCAGTTTCTCTAAATTTCCTTGCATGCATTTATATTTTTATACAAATTAATAAGACTGTTATCTGGGTTCATTTCAGCAAGCTTGTGGTTTTGAGTATACCTCTAAACTTCAGCGGATGTTTCAAGACATTGGTGTAAGCAAAGATTTGAATGAGCAGTTCAAAAAGCACCTGACGAATTCAGAACCACTGGACTGTGAGTATTTGTATGTTTATAAGCTGCTTTCACAGGCAGTGTTCTTGTTGCGAATGAGAGAAAGGACAGAACATTAAGTAAGGATGCTAGATACTTTGTTAGAAATTCAAGGACTTAGAGGCAGGAAGTTTCTCCCAAATGTCCTACCCTCTTCCTCCTGGCTCCCATGTGACATTAGAGATGGCAGCTACTGAAGCGTTGTCAGCGCTGCTGCCAGCTGAGAGCGCCGGGGGTCTGGCTGACTTGCATCCAGGACCCAAGCCCCACCTCTTCTGCTTGCTGACTTGTTCACCCTACACACAGGCCAAGGACTCAGGGGCTTGTTTTATCTTGTTTTAAACCTTAGTTTGGATGATCCATTCTAGCATTTTTTTTTTTTTTTTTTTTTTTTTTTTTTATAAGAAACTCACTTGGTCTATGTAGATAACAGAGTCAAACTAAAGACTGTGGCTTCAGATTTGCGTTAGGGATTAGTACAGGCTGGGGCAGGTAATTCATTTCCCCAGGAGAGGCGGCTGGGCTCATTTTAAGGTGTTGCTGTACTAGTAGGATGGCAGCCTTATGCTATAGTATCATATGATAATTTTGGTCTTTTTAAATGAAAAGTGACTAATTTTATTTTTCCTAAGTCAAAATTACTACTCTAGGCCGAGTGTGGTGGCTCACGCCTGTAATCCTAGCACTGTGGGAGGCCAAGGCAGGAGGATCTGTTGAGGGCAAGAGTTTGAGACCAGCCTGAGCAAGAGCGAGACCCCATCTCTACTAAAAATAGAAAAAATTAGCAGGCCAAATAAAAATAGAAACAAAAAATTAGCCGGGCACGGTGGTGAGCGCCTGTAGTCCGAGCTACTTGGGAGGCTGAGGTAGGAGGATCACTTGAACCCAGGAGTTTGAGGTTGCTGTGAGCTAAGCTGACGCCACAGCACTCTAGCCCGGGCAACAGAGCAAGACTCTGTCTCAAAAAAAAAAAAAAGGTACTACTCCATTGTTAAACTTGAGAGTTTTACCCATGGACTTTTCAGCTATCTGTGAAAATGAAGTTATTATAATTAATAGGTTTTGCATGTATGTAGTGCATATCTTTTCACAGTACTAAGTGATAGACAAACCGTAATGAAGACAGTTGATTACTTCCGGGTTTTCAGTCTCCATGGGTTTGGGCCGTGATGCTGTGCGTGGCAGGCACGGTGTGGCGTGCGTGAGTGGACTGAAGTCATTTGTGGCAGACACGAGAAGCAGATGAAGCAGAACAAGCACGTGACGACATGATTCTGAGCTGGAAGTTAAATGGAAAACTGTCACTCTTGGAGGGAAAGCATTTCTGGCTCTTCCACCTTTTACTAATTTTAATTGAATAAAATGGGTCGAAACTATGTATGTTCAATCCTTAATGTTATATTCAGGCAGGATTTTTCACTTAATGTATTTTCTTTTAATAAAGATTTGAAGTGATTGAACTTTTCTGTTTGTGAGACTAACTGAAAGTCTTCCTGCATTTTCGCTCCCCAGTGGATTTCAGCATTCAGGTTCTGAGTTCGGGGTCCTGGCCGTTTCAGCAGTCGTGCACGTTCGCCCTGCCCTCCGAGGTGAGCCGGGTCTGTGTTCTGCTCTGTCAGTGCTGAGCAGCTGTGGGAAAGGGCGGCCGGCACCCCCAGGAGCGGCTCTGCAGAAGGCCGTTGCCATGTCACAGTAAACCTGCCGGCTGTGTGGCCTGGGGCAGCACTGATGACTGACGGTGGGCGTCTCCGTCCCAGCTCAGCAGAGCGCGGGTGTTTACTCGCGGGAGCAGAGCCTGATTAGTTCTGTGACGTGCATCTTGATGGTGCCTGCTGTTCTTGACGTAGAAACCTTTTCCTGTACCTCCTAGTGCTTTAGAGCACTTTACAAGAGAGGCAGACGCCTGGCATTTGTCTTTACTTTGGCGTAAGCACCGACTTTGTGCTGTACCTGGGAACAGCGCGGACTGGGGAATGTGGTCGGATGCAGATGCCGCCTGACGCTGTCCTCCTCCGCAGCTGGAGCGCAGTTACCAGCGATTCACAGCCTTCTACGCCAGCCGCCACAGCGGCAGAAAACTGACGTGGTTGTATCAGTTGTCTAAAGGAGAGTTGGTAACTAACTGCTTCAAAAACAGGTACACTTTGCAGGTAAGATCACCTCTTAATCTTAAAATATTTTTTAAATTCTAAATGAAGATAAGACAAACTGTAGAAATTTAGTAAGTGTTTGGCACAGCTCCTGCCTGACACACATCAGGTGTTCAGATGGTGGCTTAAAAAGCTGCAGTTACACGTATTTAATTAGGATGACAGCTCTCACCCTTCGACAAAGCAGTTTCACGTTAATAGTACCCTTCAGTGCCTACAACAATAGCGAATATTAAATAATAATGACTATGTAGCCAAACACATTTCCATTTTGTAAATGATAAAACTGAGGCTCAGGTTAATTTAAGTGACCCTTCTGGATCCTAGCTTATATGTGACCAACCCAAAATTTCAGTGAAGGTCTTTTCTCTTAAAAAGGTCCAGGCTTAGGAGTCTCTCTGAACCTACCCTCGTTCAAGAGCTGTCCAATTAAAAAAAAAAAAAGTCCGGGCTCTTTCTACTGTAGCTTTTGTGGAGGGTGGGCCTCACAAGTAATTGCGTATTTTAATCTCTGAGAAGATTTCACTGGTGAGCTTGTAAGAACAATTTCAAGTCTGTGTTTAAGGGTTAAGAAACTTCCAAACGGGTTCTGCAGATACAAGTTGCATGTTAATTTAAACTTTCAGTGATTTTACTCTGATAAAATAGTTACAATGTATAATATTCTGTTATGCTAGGTCCAGATACCTTCATCAACTTGCATGTGTATTACTATACAGTTGAAATTTTGTTTTATTTATCCCCAGATATACACAGAGGAATCCATTTGCTTATACTATGATACCTAAAATTTCAGTCCCTGGTTTTTGACCAGGCAGAGGCCTAGCATGGGGTGTGTCTGCCGTGTTAAGGCACAATATAAAACACTAGCATTGTGCTCTGCCTGCCCTTGTGTTTTTACTTAAGGTCCAGAAGCACTGTTGTCTGTGATCTGCCCTGAAACAGACACACGTGTCATTGTCTTTTCATGAACCAAGAGCTTGCCTAGGCAAACAGAGGTGGTCTGGTACACAGCTTGTTCCCGTGGATTATGTGAGCGAAGAGGGGAGAAGTGAGGAGGGAGGCTTCAGGGGGTGTTCGGTTGCTGCACACACTCAGAAATTTGACCCAGGTCAGGCGCGGCGGCTCACACCTGTAATCTCAGCACTTTGGGAGGCTGAGGTGAGAGGATTGCTCGAGGCCAGGAGTTCTAGAGCGGCAGCCTGAGTAACATAGTGAGACCCCATGTCTACAAAAATTTTAAAAGTTAGCCAGGTGTGGTGGCTCACTCCTGTAGTCCCAGCTGCTCGGGAGGCTAAGACAAGGAGACCAGATGTTTAAGGCTGCAGTGAGCTATGATGACACCACTGCATTCTAGCCCAGGTGACAGAGCAAGACCCTGTCTCAAAAAAAAAAAAAGGGGGGGGAGGGGTAATTAGGAACCAGCCCATGCTACCTCGTGCCTGGTGTACTCTCTAGTATTGAAAATAAAGATACCCTTAGAGCAGTTGTGGTTTACTGTAAACCATTTCATACTTTACTTTTTCATACTTTCATAGTAAAGTACTTAGGGTTAAAAAACCAAATATATTAATAATATAATTCAATAGGAAGGCTCTTGTCTGTCAGTAATGTACCAAAGGATCATTTCCCTTAACGTGTGTGCAAAAACAAATTCGAAGTTTGATGCTTAATGTGTCTGTATATACCAGGTGTGCGTGTATGTGTTTATATAAATGAGTGCGGGTGCATTTATAGTGTATATTTACATAGACGATACATTTTAGAAGAAAATTCCAAATTATTTTAACGTTTGAAAAGGTGGGAAATGACTTGTCTTTTGGGAAAGTGTCTCATCACAATGGCATTGCAAGACTTTGTATTCCCTTTTAAATCTGCTTCATTCTTGCATCTATTTGAAGAATTTGTTTCATAAATAAGTTCTTTAAACATAGGCTATGTATTTTTGGAGTTTTTTCTGTGCATTTAAATTTTTCTTCTCTTTCTTTTATGTGGGGGGCCTCAAAGGCATCTACGTTCCAGATGGCAATCCTGCTTCAGTACAACACGGAGGATGCCTACACCGTGCAGCAGCTGACTGACAGCACGCAAATTAAAATGGTATTTGTGTCGTTTCACAACTTCTTTATTGTAGCAAGTTGCCATTTTCTTGTTCTCGTAGATAGTGTAGGGAAGACACGGGGAGAGAATATGGGTGTCCTTGATTTGAAATAGATATTTGCCTCATGAATATGAACATGCTCTTGTTCTAGGATTTTAATACATGTTACCAAAAACTTAACAACTCAGTGTGACACACACACCGTGACATGCTTTTCTGTCGTTCACCTAACCGGTTCTTAACTCTTTTTCCAGCTAGGCTTTTCTTAACTAAACTTAAATTTTCACTTAATTGTAGTAGTATTTTTCTTACTAGTCATATTTTTTATTGAGGTATATTTCAGATAACATAAAATTTCGCATAACATAAAAATTCATCATTTTAAAGGGTACAACTTAGTGGTTTTTAGTATATTCACAAGTTTGAACAACTACCACCACTATCCAATTCCAGCATGTTTTCATCACCCCAGAAAGAAACCTGTTCCCATTTGTAGTAACCACCCTTTACCTCCAGCCCCCCAGCTCCAGCCCTCACAACCATTAATCTACTCTGTCACTGTGGATTTGCCTGCTGTGGACATTTCATATCGATGGAATCACATAATATGTGGCTTTTTGTTTCTGCCTTCTTTCAGTGGTATACTGTTTCCCCAGTTTATCCGTGTTGTAGCATGTATCAGTACTTCGTTCTTTTTTATGATTGAATAATATTCCAGTGTCTGGATGGACCACGTTTTGTCCATGCATAGGTTGATGGACATTTGAGTTGTTTCTGCCTTTTGGTGGTTATGAATAAAACTGCTATGAATATGTTTTCAGTTTTCTTGGATCTGTGCCATGGTGTAGAATTGCTGGGTCGTGTAACAACGATATACTTA